AAAAGGTCAAAACAAGACATTTACAAAAGATGGGCGATGTTCCCACAAACAGCCACGTCCGCAGATGTGACAACCCGGAGGGGGTAACAAAAAAGATAACTTTTCAACAATACATAATGATACACAAAAAAATAATCAAACGACAGACTCATCGTCACACTGTCATTTCAAGAGAGAGAGAGAGAGAGAGAGAGAGAGAGAGAGAGAGAGAGAGAGAGACTAACCGACTGTCGCGGCGATGGATGTCAAACAACGTCGTAGTTGTCTCTTTGTTGTTGAGTATGACATCCATGACAGCGACAACAGACTTATATAGACGATGGCGACTTGACAATGAACAGCCATCTAGAGAGAGAGAGAGAGAGAGAGAGAGAGAGAGAGAGAGAGAGAGAGAGAGTGAGGTGGGGCAATCGCTGATGAGCCAGTCGCCAAGAAGACGTCTTGTCATCTGCGACGGCGATTGGCCCTGAATGATTGAGGACACACACACACACACACACACACACACACACGCGCGCGCGCGCGAGGCCAGGATGCGCCGCTGGCGATGGCAACCGCCGTCGTCCGTCCGTTGCCACACGCGCGGACGACCGCAGGAATCTAATCCGCAGTACCGGTTGTCGCCGAACCGACACGCCCGTCAGAGGCCGAAAAAAAAAGCAAARAAAAAAAAAAAAAAAACAACATAAAATATCCAAAAGCCGAGTCGCCCTCCGGCCATACCACCGACCACAGGGACCCCGCCCTTACGTGGGTCCGGCCGCTACTGGAGGCCAACGGGCCAGAAGTGAAAACGCACCTTTTCGACCGAAAAAAAAATCAACAACGAAAACGAAAAGTCCCGCGGGACACAGGCTTGCGGAATTGTGGCGCGCAGCATAATTCGGCCTCGGCAAAAACAGGCTCGGAGGTACTGGTGGTTTAAGCCCAACCAATTCAATTACCTGTCTATTCCGCACAGGACAGCCTTTCAGGCCTTTTTTTTTATTGTCATTATAGTATTCTGGGGAACCCCGTAGCAGCCACGTCCGTGCTCAAGCCTCCAACGAGGGAACATATGGGAGCTGCACCCACCAGCAGGTGCCGTACCTGCTACAGCAGGTGGGCGATACCGGCCAGGGGTCAGCCGGTAGCATCAGGACCTACAGTAGCTTCTTCGATCGGCCAGTCACTGTGCCTTCCCTCCGGTCCCCTCCCCCTATAAACATCACCAGTCTCTGCTCAATGCCACTCGGGGGGACCAACGGCATGCCTCTAGGTGGCGGGCACCAAGCTTGCCCACGAAGGTACATGAGGCCAATGAGGATTGAACCCAAGACCTCCTGAATGCCACTTGGGTGCCTTACCAACTGAGCTAGGATAGAGGCCTACCATGGTGGTAACGGGTGACGGAGAATTAGGGTTCGATTCCGGAGAGGGAGCCTGAGAGATGGCTACCACATCCAAGGAAGGCAGCAGGCGCGTAAATTACCCAATCCTGACATAGGGAGGTAGTGACAATAAATAACAATACTGGGCTCTTTCGAGTCCGGTAATTGGAATGAGAACAGTCGTAAACTCCTAATCGTCAGATCAGATTGATGAGCCCATTTTTCCTCTGTGACAGCACAGACATTCACTCAAAAACTTCCCACTGGCAAAGAGGATTATAGTAAGAGTCTTAATGTGGACGTGTTTGTGGACAGGTGCGAAAATTTGTGATTGATCTACTTCTCTGCACCTCTGCGTTGAACACGTCCAGATTCAGACACTTCTTCCAATCCTCTTTGCCAATGGGATCTGGCCCTTAGTCTTTCTTTTTTTCTCTTTTTTTTTTTAATAAAAAAATTTGAACCATTTCTCGATTTATGCTTGTCATCCTTGCCCAGGGGCCATGCTAATCTTCTCTGTATCGTTCCAATTTTAACTGATGTCCCGAAGGACGTCCTTAGTCTTTCACTAGATAGCGAGACGGCAACTTCTTTGTGGCCTCGCTTTTCCGAAAATGGCATTTCGGAGTACCACCCTGAGGCGGGACGACAATAGCCTACCCGGCGGGAATAGCGGTGCGCGGTAACGCTGCGTAATTTTCCGGCGGTAATCCTTACCGGAGACGGTAACGGAGGAACGTCGAAAATACACGGCGCCATAGCGTTCGCGCGTCCAACAGCTTCAGCTCTCGGTTACTCCGGAGGTGGGAGCTAGAGGACCTGTCCTCACCGTAGCTACAGTGGTGAGAGCTTTCCGTGGAATAATTGGAAGCCAGGACAGTAGGTCCGCCCGTCACTCGTCACTCGAGGCTAGATCCAATTTACCACTGATGCAACTGAATCAATTTGCTGTTCGCGCATGTACATCCAGACTTCGCTGGCTCTCGATGTTCGGAATCAATCTCTGCTGTTTGAAGACAGGCGTTCGAGGATCCGGCAACAGGAAGCAGGACAGGTAAAACTGCGCCCTTTCACCGTGTGTGCTCGAGCGGGAGAGGGGTTTTGTTTCTCTGACTATTTACTGACGGGGGGGAGGAAACATTTTCTTATCCCAGCGATTGGATGCTTCTGCCCCTTTTTCACCGTTAGGTAGATAACACTGTTGCTCGGAATCCAGCTCGACTAGAAGAAGCCTGGTTAGGTTTTCCTCTGTAGAGCAATGTCCAGTACGAGAGGGGGCCCACCCTTATCGCCGGAAGAAAGGAATCGCATTAGGGACCTAATTTCGCGTTGTTATTCGGATGGAGTCCTACCAACGAATCTGGCCCCAAATGAGGTTGTAACCGGGGAAGATTACGTGAAAGTAACCATCAACCCGGTGGTGAACGAGATCCAGTCGGAGTGGCTTCAGGACCACGCCGTCTCTGTGTTTTTTGGAGATGATTCGACTTCACTACCTATTGCTGTAAGGCAGCGCCTAGTCCGTATATATGAGAACGGGTGGGCATTGTCCGGGGTGTTGGAGGCCGCGCCGAAAAGGGGTCTCTTTCACAATGAAGGCTGCAACCTGCCAACTTACGTGGCCTCAGCAAAGGAGGTAGCAGCCTGGATGCTCCGGATAGGACAGACAGAGATTGAACTTGATGGGAACAAATACACGGTTACCTTTAAGCCGTGGATGACCGAGCAGGAGCTGTGGGAGTGGCGAGAGGTATCTAGATATCGTTTCTTCTGGATTCGTTGCATGCAAGTCCCGGTGGGCGCCCTCCCCCATCTCCGGAAAGCTGTCGCAGATGCTTTCGGTCCGGTAATTAAGGAATTTTCGTTTCTTAAGGATCCACTTTCGCCAGACTTAATCAATATTAGGTTCGATTTAGAGTCAGCATCCCGCCTTCGATACAAGCGCTACTTGGTAGTCGACCTGGGAAGGCAGGGATACGTGGAGATAGAAGTCGTGTGCGCTACTACCCCATGGTGTCCAGTCTGTAGACGACATTTCCACTGGGAGGGAGATCCAGAATGTACCGCAGCCAAAAAGAAATCGTATGCGGAAGCGGTGAAACCAGCAAAGAAACCCCCCCCCCCCCCCCCCCCAACGGACAAAGGGAAGAGGTCAGGCAAGGAGAAGGGAAAATCGACGGAAGGCGGGTCAGGGGATAAAAAGGGAGGGAGTGGAGACGAGAATGGGAAAGGGAAAGGGAAGAACAACGATAAAGACGGGGACACTAACGGAAGGAAAGTAGGCAAGGGGAAAGAGGGAGAGGAGAGAGACGGGAAGAAAGGAGGGGAGGGTTCGGAGGAGAAAGATCGGGAGGAAGGCTCAAAGGGAGTGGAGGACAGGGTAAGGGATGGCGGCAACGCGAGTGGGAATAACCCGATTGGGGATGCGCCAGACCCCGTAGGGGAAAAGGGAGCATGTTCGAAATCGGAAGGAACCCCCTCCCCTCCTACCCGTCAGGAAGACCACATGGATGAGGATCGAGCGGTAGTACGGGAGAAAAGGAAACGAGATGACAGTAGATTAGAGGATGATACGGACGAGGAGTTTCAAGCAGCGAAGGCATTGGTACTCTACAACGGCGGAGGGAAAGCTCT